GAAAGAACGCGAGTTGAAGCGGCGCCAGACGTAGTTGATTAGTAGTGCTGGACGCCAAAAATGAACGATCAACACAAAGCGTTTAGCTGCGTCGGCTACTACTTGTTTTTCGAATTTTCAGGTGGCGTTCTCCAGTAATTCGATAGGGAAGCCTTTGCCGTGGTCGGCCATTTCACTGCCCCCCTGGGCGTTGTCGTTATATGTGCCGTCGCCGCCGCCGCCGTCGTCACGTAAAACCAGCGTCGTAATCCCGAGCAGGCCATCTAGGGAAAGCAGAGTGCGCTATGGCATACATAGCCGACTTTCGTACCGGCGTAGGACGAGCTAAAAAGCTGAGAAAATTATACAGTTTTTCCTTTATTTAAGTCAATTGAACTACAAGTTCATGGCCAAGATCTTTCGTTTTTGACGACGGCGGGATCGCTAATTTCCCGATTTTCTGTATACACATCCTCATTATCACAATTTATTTAAGGTTATAGTTTTTCAACTGAAAATATCGAAAACGGTGGTGCGGCCCAATCCGACATACACCTGCAACCTACTTTCTCGCTCACTTTTAGTGTTCACCAGGTGGCTCAAACGCTGATAAAAGCAATTTCTATCTCTTTTCTATCGGATGAACTCGGGACTGTGTATGTTGAGAAGAAAAAATCTCATTAAAATTCCTTTGGGCCAGCACTCATTACTCTTAATGTAGTCAGCATGACCTTTATCATTGTTAACCGAACACTTTCCTCCGCCGGATATAAGGTGTTCGATTATATCATTACGAGGAAGGATATATAATATTATATGACAGTTATAGGTCGACGGGAAGACCTTACAATACCATGAGATCCTGTCTCCATAATGAAGCAGTAGTCACGTGTTTGCTATTAAACTAGCGAGCACGGGAGGTAATGTGGGTTAGAAACTCGGCTAGGCACTTCGTTTGTGCTGAAAAGGGTCAGCCCTCTGAAGTAGCTTAACGACAACGCAAAACCTAAAACTAGACTTGAAAACACTACTTATGTAAATGATTCGTACGTAGCAAAAAAATGAAGATGTAAAAGGTCACAGATTATAAGCTGTCTAACTTGTTAGGTAGCTAGCTGTCTGTGTGGAATGTAATAAGGTCCGTGTGAGATCGACCCTAGCCAAAGTGTTCGTCCATGTAGGATAAGCAATATAATGGAAAGAGTATACATTTCGTCTGGCGGTATCAAATGCGATGCCTATGCAATTATCCGAGCAGGTGCGGCGGCTGAACAGTCACAGTCTCTACGTACAACGAAGCGGACGTTGGGGACTATGGGGACGACCACGAATCCCTTATCAACCATTTTGCCTGAGGCTGTCACGTAACGCGTGCCAGTCGATGTAATCTGAAGTTATCACTTGATTACCTCGCACACGGTATAAATCAATAATTAAGGCTGAAATCTATAATATGCAATAGATTAATAGTCGAAACGATGTCATCGAAATAATCATCTATAACAGAGGTGCAAGATACGATAGTAATAGTGAGCAGTTATCGTACTGAACTAGATAGAATGGTTGTTCCGGACAAATGAGCGTGATCTTCGTTACAACAATCGGGTTTTTTTCATTATTTAGTACATTTATACGTCTCTAGACAAATGCAGGAAGAAATCTTGAACGGATCAGTTCACTCACGTATTATTGGCTTTTTGTTAATATCATCATCATTGCCACCGAGCTAGCGTTTTGGTATAGCTGTAAAATGTCAAATTTGCTTTTCTTCATGCTCTTGTAGTTTTGTCAGGGTACGCACTGGCGGAAAATGGTACCCCTGGAGAGAACAAGCAGGCTTAGGAAAGCAATTTGCATCAGGCTTGCAAGGAGAGGACCTCGGGCACGACTTCGTTCTTTTAACATCTATCAGCTTTACGCCACGCGGTGTTTATCAGTTCCAAATACAAAATAAATCAGTTCGGACTATTGTGTCTATCATAGCTGCTATGCTGACAAAGTTTATAATGATAGTAAATAAGTCTATGAGATTTGATAATAGAGAATTGAGCTCGTTTATTTTTTCAAAATTCACACATTTTGGCTGTGCTCTTAGCCCCGTCCGTTACTTTGTCTAGCACGCAGTAGATTCACGTCCATGCACTAAAAGCACCGTTTTGCTTCGGACCTACCGCTTGAATGCAAGGTAAATTATTTTATAATACAGTATATATACCGGGTGCGCAAATATATTGACGCTAACTTCTTCGACCAACAGGTCGTATAGGTACCCGCTTGGCTGGAATGAACTTCGGCTGAAGTTTCTACAAAAGATTATCGCCTTATTTAGGCCTTGTTATGCATGATATCTTCCTACGGTTATCTATGTCATATAATAGAAGCTACGCATCAGGTACGCATAGCTGGTAACGTTTTGGTTACGTGAGCTCTGTTTAAACATTAGCCCCACTTGCAGTTAGGGGGTAACGTATAGCCACTTACAACTTGATGGGTGAAACACTAGCTGAAGGCGAATAATATACCCGCTTGATTATAACTTAGTAACGTATCCTGCCTCAACTAAGACCTTGTGATGAGTCTACTGAAACTATTAATGGACTGGAAGACGGTCTGATTCTGCTATGAATTCAGCTGTGGCACAATCTACACGACACAGCAGTATAATCCTGTATTTCTTGTTGAACTTTATAATTGTTTGAAACGGGAAATCAGAAACGAATGGCGGGAAGTTCGATTCTAGGATTTGATAGCTAACTTGCTAATGTACGAGCCGGAAGTTGAAGTGACAGGTTTATAATTAGCTGAATCGTGTAATTTTTTAAAGCAACCAATAATTAAAAGTTAAATCACGATGTAATCGCGCGAAGTTAATACCTATGGTAAAGCGAGTGTGAATGGATGCCAAGTACTAATGTGATTGATATATATGCTGATCTAGTTGACTGCGTGTTCAGAAGTGTTTCGGATTGCAAGACTATATTCATCTAAACCTGACCCGTTCCTTTGAAAAGCTATAAGATAGCCGTAATGTTTCCTACTCATTGCCCAAACTTATTTCACGTTTTCCAGCTGATTGACGCAACTTGTCGGCTCGAGTGTTTTTATATCATTTTCAACCGTCTTCTTCTGAATGAGGACTTGCCTACCCGAAGGACTCATCCCCAAACACCTGACCGAGATTTTTCCGAAAGACCTATGAAACGACATAGTAACCATAGAAGAAGCTTTTTTACAGCTGTTAGGGCAACGTTTCCGTTTGTATTCTAATGATTTGTTGTATTAATTTTCCAAAAAAGATGTGATATAAGCCAACGAGGGCCCCTTGCTGACTGACGAAGATCTTTGAAGAGATGCCTTGTCAGTCACCCAGAGCACTTGGCCGCTTTGTCAAAGGTATGCATTCAGAATGCATTATAGCTTACTTTCGAAACGCGTCGCACCCTCCTCAATGGATTATTAAATGGTATCGCATCTCCCTTTCATTACGGGTACTGTAACAATTGTTAAGTCAACAAAACCTGGTTACTTAACCGGCGGCCCTATATACGTCCAAAGGAGTTCTGGGTCCCATGGTTCTATCATGTAAACTTGTTTCGCTCCTCGATTACGAAAATGCCTAAATTCTCACATTTCAAGATACATTATTCTACTTTCCAAAGGTCTTAATTACCAAGAGAATAATTTACAAAACGCTGAAAAAAACATATAAAATTGTGTACATAAATTTAGAGCAGCATAGGCACGTCGCCGTAATACTATAAAGCGAAACCACGATATAACGAACACTAACTTAGGTATTTATTATTGGTACTATCCCGTTGAGAAAATGCCCGAACTTATTTCGGAAATCTAACCTTATATTGGTTGGACTATTGCGGTCGGATTTATCTTAAACGAAAGCACCATCTTTAGGCCATCTTCTAGACCAAAATTCGACCAAATGATAGGACGGCTTTATCATTGAAATGTACACCGTCAAAGATATATACGAAGTGGTTAGCTGCTGGAAGACGACAGCTGATAAGCAACGCGTTTAGCTGTGCAGGCCCAGCTAAGGGCGAAAAAAGTTTGTGAAGTGTTATTGACAGCTGAGTAAAGAATGGGGAATTCTAGTTCGCTTCGGTTACGATTTGTTTTGGACGAATATAACGATATTAGACCCTTATTCAAGGCGGCTTTCCAACGCTGCTCGCAGACGAATCGTTGGTAGAGACTCAAAGCGCGCCGGCGGCAGTATCCTTAATCTTCATCCGGCCTTCTCGACTCACCACATAGCACTCCCAACGAATTTTAAGATAAGTAGTTTTAGGCCATATCAACTCGTCAGACTCAATAGGATAAAGTTCTGGCGAGACACCTCGGTTAATCTTAACGCTATCAGTGCAGCCATCCACATCTGACTTTCTTTTTAGTGCTGTGACGATAGTGCGATTCTGGATAATTTTCTATATCTTGAAAATTGACAAATTGCTAAAACGAAAAAGGTGAAACTGTTGGAAAAGCGGCGACATATACATATTCTATGGAAAGGACCAGGCCGGTTCGAAAGAAACGCAAAGAACCTAGATGATTCAATAGATCGTTCGCTTTATATCGCGCATTCTTACCTGAGCCGTTCTGAATAGGGTAATACATATTTCATTTAATAATTGCCCCTGCTATATAGTGCAGGCTTTAGTTTTTTCTGAAAGTGATATGTAGGCAACTGCGAGACCGCGCGACGCACATAAAATAGCTAGCTGATTATTACAGAATATGTGCAGTCACGCGATTTTTTGCGTCAATCTGTTTAAAAATCCGGCTTTTATCACTATCAACCTAATTACATTATCATAACGGTATGGATCGATCATTTCAGAGGAACGGTCGATGGTATTGCTCGTATACGTGCTTTCATCATTCTATGATTGTGACGTGACGTGTGTGATGATAATGACGGTGATTACGGTAATGAGAATGTCCAAGTGGCATTAACGGTATTATTTTACTGTGTGGTGTCTACTGTTTGTTATCGGTTTCAGTAAGGAGGAGTTGATGAGAAACTCCGATCCGCTTGTTTGGGACCAGAGGCCAGCTGAGCACAATGCCACTGCCGGCGACGATGACCGCCGAGCCGCGAAAAGGTACATATTTGTGTACTGTATTTTAATTGATATTCCGTTCATTGCGTCTCAGTATACATCCTTAGTATACATCCCGCCTTAGTATACATCCTGATGGAAATACACCCCACAATACCATTAATAACGCTGCCCATATGCAAGTATACTAACGATTGGCTTTGAGGGACTTACTTTAGACGTATGCCGGCTTTTCTAGGACCATCGCTACTATATTACGCAAATGAAGCAAAGATTTCCTCACAGATATATGTATATATATATATATTGTAAATCTTAAAGTTTTGTCCTATGTACCGCTTATTAAAGGTCAGGGCTATCAAAGAGTGAAACTTTGGGGAATGAGCTTTAGGTTTAGTGGATGTAATCCTGACAGGTCCAGCCATCGGAAGCGAATCTTATACCACGCTGCGATTAATGAGCTCTCTCACTTGATATCAACAGTGTATACGACAGACAACATACAAAAAAAGTTCCAGTTTGCATGCTTCTAACTTTTCTAAGTTTTCTAAACTGAGAGGTTTTCTAATTATAGAGGTACTCTGTTACATTAATTTATGAAGTGACTAGCAATTCTTCATGCGTTCAGCCAACTAGTCTGGTAAGTTATTTTATGTTAGCTAAACCTTAGCAAACACAGACAAGATTTTCTCAAGAAATATCTCTAGAAATATCTATTCTAGACTATACATGTCGTTTTGTTTCGATGCGTCCTAGTTGTGTCAGATTCAGGGTTTACTCCGGTCCTTCTCTGCGAAGACGCCATGACTGCAAAAATAAAAGTTAAAATTAAATGTTTTCGGTTTTACGTTCGGTGCCATCCCTAGCCGTTCGATTAAATGGCCTGCTTTCAGCAAAAGACAACCATTTTGCTAGGGTTATAATCTAGTCGATCTGCCACTACGTTATCGTTTCGGCCTTTAGGTCTTGCAGTAACTGAACATTCGCAGATACTGTGCGGTTAAATCGAACATTCTATTTCACAACACTCGTTGACAGTCGTACTAAAAATTGTAGTAAGTTTGAACTAGATTAATCAAGCCTTACCAATTGTGCAACATTTTAATTTTTCTATAATAAGAAGCTCGAATCCCCACCAGCTTCATGTTGTCCTGATTACGCGTGTATCAGTTTAATGCCGAAAAGTTATTAGAGCTGGATACTTTTTCTTGTTTAGTGATTGTTCGATGGATTTACGAAGTTCTATTGGCTCTATTTATTCAAAGTAACGGTTGAAGGACATAGCAAAGACGTCTACTTCAAATTGCTTTTGGTTTCTCGGCTTTAAGTTAGCCCTGTTCAAGGCTCGAGATAAGGACACAGTATAGAAACCGTGTGACTGTCGAATACACGTAATGATCAGATACCCAGACAGTGTCGTATGAGCTTCTGATTGTACATCGCATACACAACAAAATAATTAAAGCATTAAAGGCAAACTATTGGATTCTTGGAAGCATTTAATTGGATGAGCCATCAGCTACACAATGTATATGTAATACAAACGTTTCCATTATCGGAGCCTGTGTCGATCTACCGACCTGTCAATGAATAGTGGATACTGATTCCGCTTTATTTAGCAAACTATATTTTTACAACCAATAGATAATAATTAGCTAGAGATGAGTTCTAGAAATCAACTGTGTCCTTCTTTAACGATTGGATGTATCAGACAGATAAAAGTTGTCAGCAGTCAGAATTGGTCAGAGTTGATTGCGTGTGCCCAAAAAAAAAAGCTTTTATTAACCACTTGGCGTGATGTCTATTCTGATTTTGACGAAGGCAACTTCTTTCACTGCTGGATTTTCCATTCGCAGGAGCTTGCGCGAGCAGGTATGGTCCGGTTTGGGCAGCTGGTGGGTGACGGCCTTTGTCGTCCTGCTGTCTGCCATCGAAGCCTTTATTGTTATTGCACTCGCTCTCTTCGACCTCAGCTTCATTCAGGGTCGGTACATAGATAAGTATATATAAGTATCATCTGTATATACTATACACGTCTATTTTATTTTTATAAAGAACTATCATTAGAACTTAGAATTAGCAATACACATCCAGTACAATTCACTTTAAACGTAAGACAGTTTCAATGTAAACGAGTACGGCTAAACGAAGAAAGATCGAAAGTGATTCACCTCATTGAAATAGGAATTTCATAAGAGACGCCTAAATAACAGCTGCTGCTAAAGGAACTATTCAAAGCCAGATATTAGGGAGGTCGATATCTTATTATAAAGTGAGTTTTTTAACGTTTCGATGAGAAAGCAGAAAGAAAAAAATAATTGAACAATAGCTACGTTTTTCTCGTTAGTCCGTGTCTTCAAGCTGACGGATAAGGCATAACGCACATTATACGAGATGAGATCAAATATAGGTTAAGAGGAATCGCTAATGAAAACGATCAAATCTGTTTGTGCCGATTGTTAGTAATAGTTCTTTTGTGTAATGTGTGTATATATAGAGGCACAATACGAACTCGTTTCAAAACAAAAGAACCCTATACGGTAACACCCTCGAATACTTAAACATAAAGTTCGACGTGCCTAATCTTAGCAAAGCCTTGGAAGAACTCCACCTAAAAACGTGATCCGAATTGAAGACCAATTCGGTGCAACGCTACTCCATTAGAAATAGCGATACAGAAATAGTATTCGTCACAGTTTCCTTGCGGCATTTCTTGCCAAACTAAACCGAATTTTTCGTTTTTCTGCTGTCTTTGACAGCTTTACATAACACTTGTACCCATCAATTCGACAACACTTTCCATTGATGCCAACTTACTGCAATATTGTTATACGCCATTGCCTATCTGATGCTAGTTCCATATATCCAGATATAAACCAGCTGTCTGGACCCGGGCTTGACGTCGAACGTGATAATGGCACGATGTTTCGGAAAAATTTGTGCCATAATCGGCACATCAGCTGGGAGTTCAAACAAACGTAAAGATGAACTATCATAGTTGGACGTAACTGTGCGATCGTGAAACTAACACGGCTATCGATTTTACTGGCAGAGCCCCAGGACGCCAGGATGTTAGCAGCGGAGCGAAACGTGAGCTGCAGATTGCTGGTAGCCGGTCCTGCGAATGCGATATCGCTCCTACCTGTTCCCGGTACAACCAGGGAACCAAGTTCTGCCGTCGACGTTGGTGAAACCGGGACAAGCTCATCGGAGTTCCCAGATCAGATGCTTGTAAGGGCAGCTCTAGGCTCTATGTCGCTCATTATCGGAGCGTTGTTCATCATCGAAATGGTGCTCAAACTTGTCGCTGGCGGAAACCGTTTCTACACCGACTTCGTTGAGGTAAATAGCCAATAAATGTCCACTATGAATATTTGGTATCGTGACTCCTTTGCTTGGAATCCAAAACGATACATATACATGAATCGAGACGGCCCCGTGAACTGGCGGCTTGATTAATATTGATGCTTATTTTTTAATGTTTTTAATTTAATTTAATATATTTAGTAATTTTCCTTTTAAATCAGCTTTCTGTCATCTGACGAGTCTGTCTGAATGGGACCTGACTGTTAGCATGGATCTTTACATTATGACTCTAAAATTGTTTGAGGAAGGACATAACATTCAGTATCTTCTTTTGAATTAATTATCTTACGTTCTCAAAAGCTCACCTACTATCGGCCGTATTGCCATGTTAGCGCTCAATCCAATGGATCTAATACCGTTTCAGGGAGTTTAATTTAAACAGAATGTTATTTCAATCTATCTTTATACTCGTGCTTCCGGTACAAAGAGCAAATATTGCGTTCTACATACTTTGTCCTATAGCAAGTTTAGTAAAGCACAAAATATTCGAATAGATCTTTGTTCTACGTTTTTCAAAAAAATCATATTGGCAAAGAGAATGGTAAAAATCAAAATGGTAGGCGAGGTTCTGGGTCTCTTTCGTGTTCGGAGTCGTTGTGTCTTCGTTGTACATTTTACTGGTCTTTCCTTAATCGCGTTTCGATGATGCTGATAATCCTGTTACTAATCATGATGATAATGTAGTACTTGGCACCGTGTTATGGGCATTCACAGATGGCGGACTGCGTCGTGGTGTTAACGGTAGCGTGTTTAGGGACGTTGTTCTGGATGCATCCACCCCTTGCGGCCCGCGGCTGGCGTCTACTCCAACTAATTATCTTATTTCGTTTACTTCGTTGTGCCCGCCTGGTGACACTATTGGTTGAAGTTCGAACCCGCGTTCTATGTACGCAACTGGTTGAACTGCAACGGGAACGACACACAGCTGAGAACAAATCAGAGGTGCTCATCCTCAAAGTGGAGGATCTCGAGGTGAGTGCACGGGTACCTAAAAAGAAGGTGGGCATATGTCAGAACGAACAGACAAAAGCAAGGCGTGTTTGTGCTTGATTGCTTCATTGGTAGAATACATGAGGAATGGCAAATTAAGAAAAAATCCCACGTAGATTATTATTGCGTACTAAACGTACAACGTTATTATTCACTGTTTCTAAACGGTGGGTGAATTCTCTAAAAATGCTTTTGTTTCTCTGTACCGTTCACAGCACGAAGTAGCTTATCTGAAGGAAAAGCTAAAGAAGACTGAACGTGAGTTTGTTAGCTCAGGTTTGGGGAGTGATGGGCGAAAATCGACAGGCGGCGGAGGTGGCCACCGGAAGTTAAGGGATACGTTCTCATTGACATCATATTGTGGATCAGTCATCGCGCTGGCAGCCGCGCCAGCGGGCCCTAGTCCAATGGGCTCCATAGTTGGAGACGTTTCGATTCCAACGTTTTCCGACGTTTCGGGCGCGACGCCTCACCCGGGCACCGCCGGCGTGCCCACCTCAGCCGGGACAGGCTCGGGTTTTGACCAGGCCTCTGCTATAACCGCCGGCAGTATGATACCGAATCGGGTGGGTCTTAGTGCGAGTCAGCGTCTCAGCGGCGGATTGGGCACAGGTGCGCAAGCTGTCTCGTGCGTCGGGAGCCGAGGTAATATTAGCCACAGTGTCCAGACCCAAACACGTGGGAAGATTTGTGAGACGTGTGGGATTCCACAGGACATCGACTTCATGGCCGCTCGTCTCAGCTATCTCGCGCTGAAGCAAGCCATCTCGGCGTTTCAAGTACAAAGTCATATCCAAAACAGCGGAATTAGTGATAATAACAAGCAGAGCACTAGCGGGACGGCGATTGCCGGTAGCGGGTTCGGTACCACTTCTAGCGTGGGCGGCTGTGCGGCTAGCGTCGGCGGAAGTCATCTGACAACGATTCTCGCCAGAGGAACAAGTAATGGTGTAGGCGGGATGGGTTCTGGGGCCGGACTGAATCCTATTCCAGTTACTACCAATGCTATTTCATCTTGTGCAGATGTTACTGGAGCCCAGAACACATTGTCGGCAAGGCGGCATCCTGCCCGTTTGCTTCCTGTTCCACTGAGCGTAGCCACCTCGCTTGTCTCTCCAGGTCTGTCATCAATTGAGAGCGGTTACTCCTCCTGTTTATCGTCGGCCAGCCGACACCCACATCTATCATCCGCTTCGCCATACGGAAGTCTTGGGTAAGTCGATTCAATCAAACGATCAGTTTTCACGACGGTGCGCAATAAGAAAGTGTTTGCCTGGTGAATTAAGGCCATGTGGTCGTCTGGGTTCGAAACCTGGCGTAGGCACATTTTGGTCTGTGTCATCTGATGTAATGTTTATCTGTGTATCTATCTACACAGTGTTAAAAAGTGTGCCAGCTAGATTATTTTTAAGCACAACAACTTACTACTTCAATGTGTATTTATACGATAATAATAGACAGCTAAGGAAATATATCGCCGTCTTTATGTAATTTGACTGTGTTCCCTTCAGTGAACACTCTGTATATTATAGCAAGCGTGGGTAGAGTCGTGCATCTATTGTCAATTTTTCTTTCAAATACAGTGACCTTTTGGCGGGTTGATTTTAGGGAGAGCATGCCGGCGAGCTGGTCAGCTGGTGTTTGCGGGGGCTCGGCTACATTATGTTGTCACTCGTCGTTATCCCGTCGGGGTTCCCGCGGAACCGTCTTTCTCTTTCCCGATTTACAGCGGCGTACCGACTCGCTCGAATCGCAGGGTACCATCTCGGTTGAGCTCAACATCCTCGACGAGGTTGCCGAGGCTGAGCTCAGCCCTGCGCCAACGACCCTGCAATCACCATGACTGTCGCTTCCATTGTCCGCCACTGGGATTAGCCACACTGGTAGATCAGAACAGCAGTTCCAGCTACAGCAGCGCGGCGGACAGATCCCGGCTGCGGCTATTCCGACTAGCAATCGCGAACAGATCCTGACGGGAGGGCCGTCAGTCGAGCCTGACAACACCCGAGCCGCTGCCGCCGCGGCTCACTCCGAAAGCCACAGGGCGAATCCCCAGAATCAACCGGAACACGACCACCCACCGGGGGCAAATGCAGCAACGGCCGATGTGCAAGAGCCGGACTCCGGCGAGGGCAGCCGCGATGTAAACGCGCTGCACCACATTAACCAGGTAAAAAAAAATAAACACAACGCAATAACAAGAACAGAACCTAGATGTACAAAAAAAAGTCACTGTAGGGCGACCTCAAGCTAGATGAGGGTCGGAGATAATAGGAGGTGCGACATCGTTAGTATTTACAGCGGCGATTTTTGTCGAATCTCTCCAGCGTCTTCAAACACGTGACCATCAGTTCATTGCAGTTGACTACTTTATTGAAATGTTTAAATTAAGAGTTCTTGGTTGGATTGTCGATATCGACACGGTTCACTTCAGTTAACCCATTTCTTTTCCCTTTTTTTTTTTTAGTTAACCTATATTTTTGTTAACCGTATTACATTTAACTTGTATTGTAAAAAAACTCGTAAATAAAATATTTTGTAAATCTCAGGTTGGTCATAGCCTAGATCGATTTTCAAAATTTTGTTCATGAAATTATTGCCTTAATCCACAGACCGTATACGATCTTAAGGGACGCATAAAAGTCACCCTCGTGGGGTATACTGTGACCCGTATAAGCGGTGATCGACATTATGCAGCTTTCGTAGTCTGTTATAGTTGTGAATTTTTTGAACTAAGTTTGCGGAAATAGTAAGGTAAAACGCTGTGTTGGTCTTGGCAAAGGAAAATGGTACAAATATGCCCTTGTCCAAAGGCATATGATTGAACATGAACGATGATTTGTTGAAAAATCTGTTCATAATATGGAAGCAACAGATACTGATAATAAATTTAAATTTTAACCTAATTTAAACACTCATTTCTTCCATGAAGTTTTTCTGTTCTAACGGCAAACTGGAAATGAGACCCCTTCTAATTCACGAAATAATTAAGTAAATGTCGAGAAACTAAATTACTTTTGTGTTTAATTATTTTACAATTTCTCGATGTTTGGCAACATCTCGCCGCGAAAATTTCAGCCAGATGCAAGACAGATGCGGCTGGGAAGCCATGACATGAAGAAAAAAAAAAGGGACAATGGCACTGTTTTAACAATAAAGAATTCAAAATGCTAATAGGTTTAAGGTAATAGGTTTTATGATAACTAATAGGTTTTCGGGAAAAAAGGAATTTTCTTAAGGTCCGAAATAGCTAAGGCCATACTTGACCAAACACTCTTTGCGTTGGTTAAACACCGATAAAATGCGGTAGTAATGAACAAAAAAATCAACAGAAGTCCCCTCAGCATGTGCCGATTAACTATATTAGGTTAACAAAGGAACAGCGAAGTTCGGCTGGATAGAGCTCAGCTGTTCAAGTGCACTGCGACCTCATTCTTCTGAATTCCACTTCATCATTGGTTAACGATGTCGTAGGTTCTGAATATATACCTATTATTATACTGGCCATTATTTAGGCCATAGGCATGTTCACTTCTTGCTATGTTCTGTATCCCTATAACTCCCGGAAGCTGCTAAATTTTTCATCATTTTCGAATTTCAGTCGTTTTCATTTCTTTTGAAAGCCGTCTTCTGATAGAAAGACTTGTCTATTTTACCATTGCCAATACGTAAGCTGTTGAAATAGGTAGACAAATAGTAAATATAGTAACTTCGGTAAATTTAAATCGGAAGCATGCTGCCAGAGTCATTCGAATCTGAGCGTCGGCAGAAATTTTCATTACCTATTAATCATCAGGAAAATAAGCTAGAGGTAATTAAGAAAAATAACGTAATATTATGGTTAATAGTTGTTTGTATAGTTGCCATCCTATTTTATAGGCCCTTGAAGAAACTCTAAACACGTTTATCCTGCCGCCCTCCGGTTAGACTTCTAATAAGATCAAGTTTTTATTGTTGTCCTAAAAAAAGGTGCTTCTAAATACTCATGTACACAAACTGACTAACTGATAGTGCTAGATAATAAAATATAATGAGAAAATAATTATAGCTTCATTAGCGGTACCTTATTTAATGATCCGCATGATAGCATTAAAAAGACAAGAGTATAGCCCTTCAGATTTAGGAACTTTCCACTGTCCTGCCCAAATCCCAATGGTACTCGTTACCTGGTCGACCTTTCGCCTGGAGCGGGTCGCAAGTTTCGGCTGTAAAGCTTCTTTAATACGCTATAACTACTTCGCAAACCGTGAGGTGCGCGGATTCAGTGATCTAAAATACATTCTACATGAGTTCGATCCGCGAAGTTTCACAATATAGTTCTCAATTATTACGAAGTATTCCGTACAATTTTACTTACATACATTCGTCATCTCGCTACAGGTAGACGCGTAAACGTTGGACTTCGCCAAGCGGTCTTGTTTTTTTGTGCTGAAGAGCTAGAATTTGTCAGACCATTGAGGCAATCCGTCCTGTAATGCTCTCTACCTTAACAGTCTTCAATAATTTTTTGGCCTTCTCTCGTTTTCATGCGTTGCTCAAGACATCTTCAGTCACGGTGACGATCCTATTGCTATTATTTCAGGGCACGTGCAAAATACCGATGACGTTCTTGTGACTCATCACTCATCATCGTCATCACACTTTCTCATATTTATCTTCTTCATCGCCACTATCCAACATCTCGACAGGGCCCGCTAGGACGGCGACATTATCATCACCTTTATCCTTATATAGCCGATCATCATTTTCACCGCGATTTTCTTCCCCGATATTTTCTGTTGCGTTACCCGTAACTAGGGCTATGAGGCTCTCTTCGTCGCTGAGATCACTCTGTATATGTTTGTGATAATGGGACCAGCCCATTTTCATTCCACTAATTTCGGTGGCGCCCATAAATCAACAATATGACAGATGATAGAAAAGTATAGTCAATAAGTGAGTGAATCGATCTTCAGATTGATAAATAAAAACATTTAACATCCTGTGAATAGACAGTGACAGAAACGCCGTTAAATTAACACTATAAGGGGACAACCGCGGCAGTAACTTCCATTCACTCTCTTTTTCAATTAACTTCCAATAAAAGTGTTTTTCAGTATTCAGTAGTTAGTTAGTTAGTTATGCTGTTGTTACTGGTATTCTTCCTTGCCCTACAGTTATTATTTGGATAATCGGATCTAAGAACGGATTTATGTTCGAATGAAAATCAAAGGCAGAAGACAAATGATTACAAACAATAGCAAGGATAATACATACATGTATTCAAACGAGGAGCCAATGTTACTGTAATGGATTGTTGCTATTTATTGCTTAGCAGAGAGTATTGTGAGATGAAAAAATGGTTACTTTCGTTATTGATTAGACCGGTCGCGAGACACGTGTTATAACAATGAACGCAACAGAACGCAGTTCTAATATATGGCCATTGATAATAATAACAAAAAAAAAAAAAACACATGAGTAAAACAATAATGTCAAAGCATCATCCGAAAAAAAGCAACTGAGTGATACAACACAATTTCAAAACAATAGACAGAGGTAAATCAGCGACATAGATAAATTATCTCTGTTGCTGATTTACTTGTCATGAAAATATATAATAAGTGGTCTAGTTATATATTTTTTGTCTCAGTTAAATATTGTAACATCCAGCAGATCGTATGTAATATAAATTTAGTAAATAATCATTTGTTGCGAGGTAAGCGACCCCAAATTGACGAGTGCTATCGATCAACCGATCAAAAGCTCCTGCAACGTAGTGGACCGTGGATGAACAAGTCGCGCCATTGTAAGCATGGCAAGCTGTCTGCTGACGTATCATCCGAATAAATTAAGGCAGACGTTATTGGAGCGTACAGTTTGTCAAATGCAGACTTCACTCGTGCGGTAAAGTGGTGTACTCTTCATGGTTCTGTATATACGAACCAGGAAGTTTACCCAGATGCCTTCAATTTAAACATTCGCGGGTTAAAGGTGTCTGGGTTTCGTTAGTACATTTTTGGTTCGAGCAGAAGATTCAACGCGTGTGATGGATATATATTCGTCACTGCAATAGAAACGATTGCTAAGGTGAGGATCGAAATGAAGAGGATCTGACTTTTATCCGACGTATGTAGTCTGGCCCAGGCGTTAGTTAAACTTGACGCGTTCTGTAATTGTTATTATCTTAGCGTTGAACGCAGAGTTCATGTCTAATAGATCTTTCCACATTGGCAGGGAAAGCCCGAGAGACGTTGGCGGGCTAGTTGATGCCCTTTCAATAAAAGGGAGTTAATGGTCTCCACAGTGTCAGTATGGATACATCTAATAGGATGGTAGGAATCGCCAATTAAATACTGAAGCTAAATATACATTTTGGAGAAACAGTGACACGCTATCGAGCCTTTTCGGCCATGAATCTTTGGAGGACGACAATCAGACAATCGAAAATGCGAAACATATCGACCGAAGAACTGTTACAAATGTCGTGCTTGACTGTGTTTCGAGTTTAGGGTCGTATTAGGGCAGTACCGTCACGTACAAGTCGAGTCTGGTGTAGGGACACTGGCACATATCGAACCGAAATGAACGAAAATCCTATGAACAAGATAACGGGAACTGAAGAGGGCTAGCTTTCAAAGACAAATACCCGCCAAAAACCTGTTGGTCCCAAGTGGAAAACTCACTCATTTGAGGCCCGGAGTCCTATACGCTAACAAGATGTAGTCAGCCAAGGCCCTTCGTGACACATATGGACAAACTACATAATAATAGCAAGAAAATATTTAAAAAGTGTATCAGATAATCACTAATGCAATGGTGGGTACGCGCTTTTTAAATACAGCGATAACAGTGACGTCCCATACACTTGTTCATTATGCAGTAAAGTGTGCAAGAATGAATTTAACTTAAAGTTGCGTGTCCGTAGATACAATACGATGGTATATATATATAGTACTACGCGTCCGGAAACGTGGTGAGACCCCACAACAAAACCAATTGCTAATACTTGTAAGTTATTGTTTACCATTTTAGTTCACAATAATAAATTAAACATTCGTCTTAGCTTACTTAGATTGGCCATCGCATCTGAAGCGTCTCTCGGGATATCGTCCAACTACTTTCATCTCGATTGGTTTAGACAAGCATATCGGTAACTGCAGTACAAACTGCATTAATTCCAACGTAACAATTTTAAGTTTAATAAATCAACCTTTCAAATTACGGATGACGGTGCAAATCCGACTCCCGATACTTGGTCTCTTTCACCTGTTTTCAATTCTATATTACAAGGACACTTTGCTTTGCGATATCATTAGCTTAAAAGGTTCGTTTGTTAGGTTCTAATGGTTGACTTACTTCAATATGTATGTTTTATAGACAATAAAGGGAGGAAAAAAACTAATCACACAAGGAAGGTCGTCGCTCAAGGGGCATTGCCTATAAGATGATATCTTTTTCTTCCGAATTTAATTTTCCTTTCTTTTGATAGCAGTCTTTACGTCGCTTTTCGTATAATATGTCTGTAGGTTGCAGCACGATAGAAACCAGTTTTAAAATGCGTCCAATATAGGGATAAGGAATACAAAGAAACCATAGAGAAGGAACTTGACTGAACCTATCGAACCGACAATTCAATGAAGCGATATAATGTCACAGTAATCGCTAGCGTATGAGCTCAATATTGACGAGCCGACCCCCTATTTATCTCTACCCAATAAAAAGAGAGACGAGCCCGATCAGAACTGGAAAACATAACCATGGGGATTTAGAAGGGATCCGCAGACAAGTTGAGACAGATAGTAATCAAACCGCATAATTATAATTAAGCATTCGAGTGCTGTTACAATGCAATAATAGAAAAGTAAGTTTATTGTGTGCATCTCTGCACGATGCTTGCGCAGGCAGAAAAACGTATTCAGTGTGAACGATAGCTTAAGTTTCGAAACTGTTGTCCAGCAGACAATAACGAATTTGATGAAATTATAGAGACAAAGCCTACGCAAATCAAACGCGAGCTGATGATTAACAGCTGACGCCATCGGACTGATGGGCGGAATCAATCACATCAGCAGCAATTACGACCATGTATCAATCATTCATGTGCCCAGGGCGTAATTGTGTTTCCGTCGTTCAGGAACAACAAAACGATAGTACAAAAAAAAAAAACAAGATCCAAACGGTAGAGAAACACCCAAGAATAATAAGAACCGCATAGGTGAAACAGCGAAGGAAAGAGGCCACAGAACGAAAAAAAAAAGTCAATCAAAGAACTGCAGGCTGATTGACAGTAGTTGGTAGTAGCAAATATAATTAATCGACAACTTTAGACACGGATAAATTTTAAGCGCTGTAGAAGAGCTATTGGTTCATCGAACAATTTACGTTGAAATAAAATACGTGATCATAGGTAGTTAGCTCAAGTTCCGTTTGGGATGGCAACGCTAGAATATTAAACAGGTCAACATATTTCTTGTTATTGCTTGTATGAGCCCATTGTTATTGCACTCGAACCTATTACGGTACCAAGCTATGGACCGTAAGATGGCGATAACATATAGAAAGAGGAGGTTGGAAGACTGAAGAATGGAAAATGATTTTTGGTTTGTCATTTATTCCTCATAAATAGGCACACAAAAGGCATGCTCGACAGAAGAAAAATAGAATATTATCGTAAACTTATTACTTGAGATTGAGGTTTGTTAGATAGAGGAATTTTCATTTCCTGAAAGATTAGACAATTTGCGCACAGACCCTATAATCGCATTGCATATTCGACCTGTATTTAAACTATGAAGCAAGCCACCGGCACCAAGTATAATCTCACTCCTATGTAGGTAATAAATTGATAGATACATACCGGTATATTAGGCTTACAGTAAGTTTTATGTATGTATTTTTTACCCTTTGAACCATATTCTATCGCATTCTATACAATATACGGATATTATTATTATTATGGGTAATTTATATTACGATTATGATGATTGGGGAAAAGATACTTGTTTGATACTTTTTCACCGACTGATTAATGCGTCTCTGATAAGTTGAATGAGTATCGGCATTGTCGGCCACTCACGTAGGAATGGTAAGTTAATCTACAATATGAGAGTATATCGTATTAGTGCCATATTCTGTAAAGAGGTAACTTGTTCGGGCCTATGGCCATTGATATTGTGTACAGCGTCTTTTTGCGTACGTAGCTTGTTTCATACATGTCGTCACCTTATCGGCAGCCTATATATGTGCCGCTGGTACTGGCGATTATCTCAGAATGACCTGTCGTATTCTAAAATCGGCATGACTCTCACGAGTGACTGGCACAACGTGCAGAGTCATCACTATAGGGTATATTTGGAGCAGTCAGAACCCCTGAAACCAGCTACAAACGGACGGCTACCGAGGACAGGAGGAAAAACCTAAACAGGTTTTGCAAGGGCTACCCAACTCCGGCTCCTTTCGAATAGCCCGGCCCGCTGAAAAATAAATACCAATACCTAAAGACCCCGTGTACTTGGCCTTCTGTCATGACCGTTTAATGTGTCCATGTCCAGCTTAAGGCGCTGTCCAATAAGGAAGCTACTTAAGAGTGGGGTTATTGCTTATGAAATCTGTCGCTGCACACACGCGATCAAAGCCTAAATGAATACGGCATGTTGGCTATTTCACCATACATACGTAGAACATACATCGTCAATACCCATAAACATCATTTCGGACCATATAACGGACTTCTTAAAAGATGGTCTACACTGTCTGAGACAATGATGACATAGTACCTGGAAGACAACCGTAGGTAATCGCTGAAAAGGTTAGGGGACGATAAACCATAGATAAAGTTCCTTTTTGGAGACTGTAGAATTTTTGTTTTTTACTGCCACGCAGTAAAACATTTCAGAGCTTCGTTGCAGACTTCAACAGCTCGTTTTACCAAAATAATAAAATCCCATTGCGCTTCATCATGGTAATGACTGATAGCCGTATTCTACTGAACTCGGTAATGTCCGCAGTACAAAGTAATTGTCATACTGATTATTGGCCTATCTAGACTTCTCAAACTAACAACCATGGCGACAACGGGAGCTCTCGAACGTAAGAACTACAGATGAAGTAACCGTGGCCGATATCACTCTTCTCACAACTTTTCCTGGGACTTAGTTAAAGACGCTATTATAATAGCTCTTCATTTATTTTTATCGAGGTTTCGTTCCTGCATCCTTCTGCCACACGCCGGTTTGTATGTGAGCATATGAGTCAGTCGTTATTGCTTCTAGACGTCGTAATTTACAGTGAAATAGTTACGACCTACTGAGAACCCATGGCGTACATATTGTTGGCTGTTGCTAGAGGGACTGTGATCCCCAAACGTTACTACGTCGACCGGCGTTACTCTCCGAAACACATCATTCTCACGCTATTACGCTAACTGCCGTTCATTTCTCCAATTAATGAAAGAAAAATAGATAGCTTTTTATGTTGTACTGTGATTCAGTCCATAGTAGAGAGTGGCATTTCCGGGGTGGCCTTGTACATTAGAGACCACCTAGCTAGCTACGGTGTCCGTATCCATGCCGACTGCTGATTCTTATGGCTAAAATGATATTTTGAAGGTTATTTACATTGAAATCTATCACTATTTATTGTGACAATGGTCATTCCAATTATAACTACAAAAACGTTGAAAAGAAAGGTAAAGTCAACTGTTTATCGTGGTTAGCGACGGTTGTGACGGCAAGCTCGTCTTATGGACGAAACGGCGCATCCATTTTCGTCATAGATACGTATGAACATGCCTACCCAGAAACTGATACGCTGACAAAAGAATATACGCGTTTAAGAGCAATATTAATTCTCAATGATATTATGATCTTTACTGCATGGTTATATACAAACAATATACCAATTAACTGATCTTCTACCTGATACATCTTCTATTCACTGCACACAAGTGAAGATGCATGTACAGACAGTAAACATTGCGCGTTTGGCACTATAAACAATTGCTGTTGGAAACGTATTCGTTAAATATTATTATAGTTAATTATATATCAATCAATTATTATCACAGTTAAAATTGTAATAATGAAACATATATCCGAAATGTCCATATAACTTGAAGAGAGCAATGTTCTTCTTCTCGAACTATCTTCGAGACATGTTCCATACTCTTTTGATTATCCATTCACTAGGAAAGTTTAATGATGATAATAACGTTAAAAAAAACGTCTAAATCTGCACGTGTATAGGGTTTGGTTCGTCTCAATCGACTGGACTAAAATTGGCATAAATAAAT